GCTCCACTTCTAATTCTAGTTTGCTTTCTATTAATATTTCTACCACATCTGCAGTTACTTCCTCCAGTGACATCTTGAACCCCTCAAAGTTATCAATGAGGGCTGGAACTCACTTCTTCTAAACTCCTTTTTATGTAGATCTTTTGACCTTCTAGCATGAATCACAAATGGTCTTAATGGCATCTAGAATGCTGAATCCTCCCCAAAAGGTTTTTATTGACTTTGCCCAGATCCATCGGATAAATCACTACCATGGCACATATAATATGATGAAATGTATTTCTTAAATAGTGAAAGTTGAAAGTCAAATTACTCCTTGATCCATGGGCTGCAGAAGGGATGCCGTGGAAGCAGGCATGAAAACAGGATTCATCTCCTTGTACATCTCCATCAGGGCTCTTGGGTGACTAGGTGCATTGTCACTGAGCAGCAATATTTTAAAAGGAATCCTTTGGTCTGAGAACTAGGGCTCAACAGTGGGCTTAAATTACTCAGTAAACTATTCAGTAAACAGATTTGCTTTCATCCACACTTTGTGATTCCATTGATAGTGCACAGGCAGAGTACATTTAGCATAATTCTTAAGGACCCTGGGATTTTCAAAATGGTAAATAAGCATTGGCTTAACTCAAATTCACCAGTTGGATTAGTCCTTAATGAGAGAGTCAGCCTGTCCTTTGAAGCTTTGAAGAAAAGCACTGAGTTGTCCTCTGTAGCTACAAAAGTCTTAGATACCATCTTCTTCCAATAGAAGGCTGTTTCATCTACATTGAAAATCTGTTGTTTCACTGTAGCCACCTTTATCAGTTATTTTAACTAGATTTTCCGAATAACTTGCTGTAGCTTCTACATCAGCACTTGGCTGCTTCATCTTGCCCTTTTATGTTATGGATATGACGTATTTCCTTAAACCTTATAAAAACTAACCTCTGCTAGCTTCAAACTTCTCTTCTGAAGCTTCCTCACCTCTCTCAGCCTTCACTGAATTGAGAAGTATGGCTTGCTCTGGATTAGGCTTTGACTTAAGGAAGATAATGTTGTAGCTGGTTAGATTTTCTTTCCAGACCAATAAGACTTTCTCCCTATCAGTAATAAGACTGTTCATTTTCTTATGAGTTGTGTGTTCACTGGAGTAGCACTTTCAGTTTTCTTCAATAATACCTTTGCATTCACAACTTGACTAAATGTTTGACACAAAACGCCTAGCTTTGGCCTATCTCAGCTTTTGACATGCCTTCATCACTAAGCTTCATCGTTTCTAGCTTTTTACTTAAAGTCAGAAACATGCAACTCTACCTTTCACTTGAACACTTAGAAGTCATCGCAAGTTTATTAGTTGGCCTAATTTCAATAATGCTGTTCTCAGAAAATAGGCAGGCTGAAGTAGAGAGAGAGAAGGAAAGTGGAGCAGTCAGACACACATGACATTTACCAAGTAAGTTCATTGTTACGGCACCCCAAAACAGTTACAGTGGTAACATCAGAAATCACTGATCACAGATCACCATAGCAGATATAATAATAATGAAAATGTTAGTAATATTGTGAGAATTACCAAAATGTGACACAAAGTGAGCACACGCTGCTGGGAAAATGGTACCAACAGACTTGCTTGATGCAGGGTTGCCACAAACCTTCAATTTATATTTAAAAAAACACACACAATATCTGCAAGGTGCTATAAAGCAAAAGGCAATACATTGAATTATATTATTGTATGTGTGTTTGTATGTATATGTGTACATGATATAGTTTGGATGTTTGTCCCTTCCAAATCTCATGTTAAAATCTCCCATCCCAATGTTGGAGGTGGGACCCTGTGGAGGTGTTTGGGACATGTGGGTGGAACCCTCATGAATAGCTTGGTTCCTTTCCCACAGTAATGAGTGAGTTCTGCTCTCTTAGTCCACAAGAGAGCTGATTGAAGAGCCTGGCATTTCTTCCCTTCTTTCTCTTATTCTCTCTCTCTCATGTGGCGCACCTGCTCCTCTTTTACGTTCTACTATGAGGAAAAGCTTCCTGAGGTCCCAACTTGAAGCAGATGCTGGCGCCATGCTACTTATACAGTTAGCAGAACTGTGAGCCAAATAAATCTCTCTTCTTATAAACTACCCAGTTTTCAGTATTCCTTTATAGGGATGCAGAATGGACTAATACAGTACATGAGTACATATACATACATATGCATACATATATGGCTACATAATATGTAATTATATTCCTATGAATGTATGTATTTCATATATCACTTATGAATTATAATTTATATAAATTAAGACAAATTATAATGAATACAAAGAGTGAGAATTGGGATATCTTTGTATGTTTTAATTTTATTTAAGTTTAATACATAATTTTAAAAATATTCACTTCTATTAACAGGTATTTAACTTTTATTGTGATCTCTGGGCTTCATTATTGACAAGGCAAATGTTTTTGTCTTATTAGAGTTTACAATATTGAGATGAAGAGAGACAACTAAAAGTCCAGTATCAGTATTGGTGATAATTCCTCCAATAAGGGAAGTCAAAGTATATTAGAGAATTACCTAACTTGGGCCCTGGAAGGTTGGAAATGTAAGGTTTCCAGGGGAAAGGATGGCTCAGTGGAAACCTGAAGGGTGAGTGGCAATGAGTGAAGGCAAGAGGCCTGGAAACTCATGTGCAGAAGTCACAAAAGAAAGATAAAGCAAAGAGCATTCAAGGAACTGGAAGAAGCTAAGTATAAATATGCTAGAAGATTGAGAAAGCAAAGTAAGTGGACATGAAATAGTATAGACAGTTACATCAAATATTAAGCCAGCAAACAATAAAGCCACAAGATTCACTCCACAGTTTAAGACTCTTCGTGAATTTTCACATGTATCCCTTACATGCCTACGCTCTCCAATTTTCCCAAATTCAGCCAGCAGCATTTTCTGTTTCATTAGCTCCAAGAATGGTGGTGCCCTCCACCCAGTTGCCCCTGCATAATTTCAATACCTCATCAGATCTGCAAGACCTTCCAATTCTTCCTCCTAAATGTTTCCTGTATCTTCAACTTTCTCACATCATCATAATTACTACTTACTTTGGTGTTTATCCTTGTTTATTGCAACAGCCAAGAAGCCTTCTTGCTCTTGGTTTATCCTTTCCCTTGCCAGTTCATGCCTATGGTAACATCTACTCAACTGGAGGCAGAATGGTGTAGTGTGGAGAGCACTGGGATTCAAGAAGAGAAAATGAGAGATCTCCCACCAAAATTCTGATGTGTGACTAAAAGTCAGACATCCTAAATGTGGTTGATATACCCAGCCAAATATGGTACAGAAAACATGAAGACAACATCTCTCCAATGTCTCTTTTCCTACATTCAACACCACTACCACCACTCCCCCCACC